AGGAGAATGCGCCCCAGAGGAGACAGAGAGGGGAGAGGCCAGCTGGAATGAGCAGCACAGGATTTCCATGTCTTGGGTTTGGGATCTGAAGTGCTGATCACGGACAGGGATTTGTGTTACACTGCCCGAGGTGAAGATTAAAGCCCTGTTTGCTTAGGGGCATGTGGGCTAGGTTCCCTCTTTTGCCTGAGCTTGAGTGTGGTGGGACACTGGGGAGATGCTGCCCTCGATTTACAGTACAGAGTCGTGATACACAACCCCAAGGGCCCTTGCACTGTACCATTTGCAGAGTCCCAACCAGCTCTGTACTACTGGAAGACATGTAGCAGAGCTTTTTCCTCAAGGCTTGTCCCTCCAAACCCCTTTCCCTCCCAGTGTGTCCCCTCTATTGGTAGAGAGTGGAGAGGACACACAAGATTTGGGCCTGAACAGGCAATCTCTACCCAAAAAGAAAACCTTTGTGACCAGAAAATGGTGCAAAAATCTCGATTCAGCTTTGAGGGAGCATGCAGATTGCTCTGCAAGGTAGTTGAGGACCAACCTGCTGCGCGGCTGAGGGAGATTGTGGCAGACCAAGAAACAACACGGAGCATAACAAAGCAAAGGCGTGGGGAGAGCCAGCTCTCCAGTGTGGTTTGACCTTCAAATGCTCCTTGAACGCAGCTTCTGTTTATACAGGGAGTTAATGGGTCTCAACTAATAAGATCTATCTGATTGGCAGAAAAATAGGGGAACTTGGCTTTACTGACAAAGAAAAGGTTTGTTTTCAGCTATCCTAGTTTGCATTAATGCTCCCATAATGAGAAGGAGGTTCTGCTGAGGGAGAGGTTCCCGTAGGTGAGGTCAACCACTGGCCTGCATTGGGTGTTATCTGGCTGTCTCTCTTCACTGGTGGTGGGGAAAAAAAAGTGCTGCATCCTCACCCAAGTACTTTGAATTTCATTCTGAGGCAGAGCATCATCTTGCTGCGCAAAAAGCACTTCTGTGACACCAATGACAAAAGCCTAAGAAATTAAATCATTAGAAGTCAAATCACTGCAGAATAACCTGGCATAGCTCCATCAAAATCTTTGTTTTATCATGGAAAGCCTTCCTTTAAAAGGATAAATAAACAAAACACCCCAGGGTCCCTCAGTGAGGCCGAGCCTAGCTTCTCCCCAGAAAAAAACCTTTCATCTTCCCTTTGCAAAGGTATTTATGATCCTAAAAGGAGAGGACAAAGGCTTGTTCTCCCCCTGCCTTGCCCACCAGCCCGGCAGGGAGGACCTGCTCTCCCACACCCGCCTCCTGCCTCATCCTGGGCTTGGGACAGGCAGTGTCAGCCCCCAAGGGAAGCACCTCTTTTGGGGCTGGAAAATCCATGGCTTATTCTGGGTCTGTCTTTGCAGTCAAGACCCCTCAGGATGAGGAATTGAGCCAAACACCAATAACTTTTCTCACTTTGGCTGCTGTGCACAGCCTAACCAGCCTGGGTATGGCCTTGGCGGGTTCCAGACCCCTGCCCTGCACTGCTCAGCCCTGACTTCAGCTCGACTTTTAACCCGTGTACCAAACCAGCTATGTCTGGAGAATATTCACCTGCTTCAACACAGGGCAAAGAGGGATGTTCCTGTGAGGTTTTCTTTTTTCTTTGGTTATGGCTTTATGTAAGTGGCTGACAGGCTGTGATGGAGCTGAAGAAATAGCTCTAGACTCGGAGTGCAGGGATAAAAAGAAAAAAACCTAGACTTTTTTCCACCCTTCCCTGAGAAAAGGTAATTTGTAAATTTATCTTCAGCTCGACTTTTAACCCGTGTACCAAACCAGCTATGTCTGGAGAATATTCACCTGCTTCAACACAGGGCAAAGAGGGATGTTCCTGTGAGGTTTTCTTTTTTCTTTGGTTATGGCTTTATGTAAGTGGCTGACAGGCTGTGATGGAGCTGAAGAAATAGCTCTAGACTCGGAGTGCAGGGATAAAAAGAAAAAAACCTAGACTTTTTTCCACCCTTCCCTGAGAAAAGGTAATTTACGTAAATTTATCCACGACCAGCATACAGCAATAGCTCACAACTTTGTTAATGGAAACCTGGTGATCCATAACACTTGTGTGGGAGACATTTGCTTGGGGGTAATACAATATTAATGTTAATATCAATGATCGATCAGAGGATTTGCAAGAAAGGCATAAAGTATTTAATTATAATTACATTGGGAATGGCTTTGTAATGGCTACGACATTTGAATAAGGTCACGTCTAGCCCTCACCCCTGTTATGTTGTTCTATATTAAATGCCATTCACTTTAAGTGCTGGAAACCTTTCTGGAGTCGTCAGAATATAATATACTGGGTAAATTGAAATATGTCCCTTCATTTTTTGAAATATGATTGATATCCTTTGCAAAACAAATGTTAACACCTATTTGTACACAAATTTCTTTGATTATATGTTAGGGAAACTCAAGTATGACAGTCTCTTCTAGCAGGTGCTTTACTGTGAGCAAAGGACATGGCTATTTGTGAATATTAATTCATCTTACTGAAAATGGTTTTGGATCTCTGCTGTAAATCCACCTGGGTGTATTTCTGCCTTTCCTAATACATTTATCCTATATTGCTTAGTAGCCATAACTGTATCTCCATTGGTCTCAGCAGCCCACTGTGTTCACCTGGGTAAGGTGCATGCTTAGTAGGAACTTTTGCTGTCATTGAGTTACCTTTTGCTAACAGCATTAACAAAGAACACATAGGAAGAATCATATTCGCACAATTCACAGCAAAAAATATATATTTCAAATATTCTGCAGATGTCTACTATAACTATCAGCCTAACAGCAGCATTGCCATGTTTAAAACAATCAAGAAAAAAATCTGCATATAAAGCATGAATATATAAATGTAGGTAGGATCCTAGAGGTGCACACATACCAACCCACATGTGAGTGCATGCATACATTGAAGTACTAAATGAGGACACGCTCTTCCCACACCTATTTACTACCGAGCATAAATACTAAAGGAGCAAATTCTCGTCCCTCTTCAAATGAGAATCCATCTGTCCAGTGACCCCAGAGGTTTTATTCTTTTTCTAACGTCAGTGTAAACAGCAGATCAATCAGGTCTAACGAGTCAAATTTTGCTTTCAGATAATCGCCCAGAATAATCATTGATTCACAGAGAATTGAAAACTCCCATTTGAAGGCAGAATTTGGTCACAACAAATCATCCCTTCAAAGTTTGGAAGACATGCAGTGATGTAACTGACATGATTTTCCATTTTGTCTTTTCTGAAGAAGAAGCAAAGACTTTTGCATGCTGTGGAAATGCCTGAAGATAGCAAGTTTTATAGTTTTCCAAAAAATGAGCATTTATTACCAATCAGCGTGAAATACCACTGATGGTAAACTTTAAGTATATGGCAGGAGTTTCAGCATCATGACAACATATATCATGCATTTTTACAACATATAAGTGCAGTGATATTGCTCCCTTTCTCAATAACAATATATAAGAATATATAGTATAAATGTACAATATATATTAGACACAATGTAAAATAACTTAGTGAAATGTCAAAGCTTCCGCATAAAAATTCAAGTCATGCCTGAGCACACCTCTAGCACAATTTTGCTTAATCTTATCTCATATACCTTCATTTACCTTTAGTTCATGTTGCAAAGATAATTTTATCTCTCTGTATATAATTGCTTAAAACCACCAGAATCCTTGCCTTTTTTTCTTTTACCTGCAGTAAGTGAAGACTGTAGTAGCCAAGCCAAAACCAAGATTTTGTGGAGTCTTTACTAATGCTGCCCTTAGGTACTGGGAAGCGATTCATCGTGAACAAGTTGTATAAAAGCAAGTTCTTAAATGCTCATTACAGTTCATCGTTGTCCATCAGGTTCTGTTCTGAAATACCCCACTGCATGTAAATGGTAATGAAACGCCTTTCTTTAGAAATGGAGCTCATGATCTAACATTGCTATCTGTAAATTATAAATCTCACCAGCTTTGCTGAAATTGTATCAAGTACCACTTTGGTAATTGCTTGCAAGAAGGATCAATAAAAATCTATTTAATAGGAATATACAACTTGTCTCAAAGCAGGTAGGTGGAACTCTGGCTTTGGTCAACACTGGATACAGCTTCTTGCAAAGCTGTGTCTCCCTTCACACTTGCTAAATAAAATATGTTCAAGGACTTTCCTGCAGCATCTCAGGAAGCTTTCTGATAGAACAAGGGGAGAGCATTTTTTTTTTAAAACCAAGGCATTAAGAGGCCCTATGGCTCTGTCACATTACCCCTCAAAGTCTACCAGAGTTCAACAGCCTTGCAATTAGCTTTCTTGGAATTATTTTCAATACAACTTCAACAGTTTAAAGAACTCTGCCTCAAATATCAATAAAAATATACTTTAAACACTTATTAATAACTACATTTTCTAATTAGTGATGAATTAAAGCTGCACAACAGTTTGAAACATGATGTTAAAATAAAAAATAAGGGAAGACAGACTGATTTTCTGTCTGATTCCTTTTCAGAAAACAAAGCCCCCCCCTACATTCTCAGCCAGTGTAAATTGACAGAATTACACCATTTTAGATCAGCTTAAGTTCTGACCTATATACTTCAGTGGAATTAATCCTAATTTCTACCAGTGAAAGTGGACTCAAATTCACTTTGTCTTTAATAAAACAATGGGTGATAAGCAAGTCTCTTTTCTGTTGGATTCTGCTTGAGAAAGGAAATTCTTTGTGGTGTTAAATGATGTCTACGACAGTTTAGAAAACAAAGCTAGAATTTCATTAATTTCACCATAGTGAAAACCGATAGTGGTAACTGTTATTTACGCTTTAACCTTAGCAGAGTTCTTTGGGTTCTTTGAGTATCAACTGGTGAATCGGTAACCCTTTCTGAGTACTGCTCAGGAAGAAAAGAAGGAGCCAGGCGGCTGATTTTCAATGACATGAGGCTGCTGAATACACTGCAACTCAGACTTTGTTACCATGAATAAATAACGTCACATTGTCCAGAACTGGAGATTAATTTGCTGGGCCTCCAGTAGATGATATTTATTTTCTTGCATGTTGTATTGAGATCTCAGGACAGGCAAAGGGTCGGGGGCTGAAAGAATGTAATCGATGCTGAATTTAATTTCAGAATCCGATTTTGCTAAGGAGGAATTGTTTAGGTTCTGCCTGTTGGTCATGCTGTTTGGAGCAAATCCACGAGGCTCCAGTAGTCTTGGTCCCGATTCAATTCTTTCGTGTTTACTTTCGGAAGAGGAAATGTTGTTTAAAGCAGAGTCCATAGAAGACATATCGGGGGATGAAGGACTTTTCCCTCTGCTTGGTCTCTGCTCCTTATGTTCCCTTTTCACATTCCTCCTCCTCCGTCTTCGCCTGTAATTCCCATTTTCAAAGAGATCTAGCATGGATTCGCATCCCGTTGCAAAGCTCCAATAGTTTCCTTTCCCCTTCTCATTCCCTTCTGTCCTGGGAACCTGTATTTATTTAAAGGCAGTTCAGTATTTGTATGTGTTACAGATGCTGCTGCTGAACATCTGCATTTATTTACATTCAAGAATGGTGTAAACACATATGACAAGACTTTTAAGCTTATTCTCTTTCATTATACGAATAGGATGTAAACTGCATCCTCTTCAATTTGTTACCTATTAGCATGCATCCGACAAGGACATACTCTTTATCTCTATAATTGACAACTCGGAGAGATTTTAAGTGATTCGCAGCTCAGCTGTTTGTTTCTCTTCTTTCTTAGTGATGAGATTATTCCTGCATATATTTTTTTTAGCCATGCACAGTGTGTATGTAAATATACAGTTACTGATCTTACCTTTACAAAACAACTGTTAAGCGATAAGTTATGTCGGATGGAGTTCTGCCAGGCTCTTTGATTTGATCTGTAGTAAGGAAATTTCTTCATTATAAAGTCATAAATGCCAGAAAGGGTGACTTTATTTGAAGGACTTTGCTGGATGGCCATTGCAATTAAGGCAATGTAGCTGAAAAAAGGAAAACTTGCTGTTACACCATCACCTCACTCACACACTCAGTTTTTAGGACCCCATGGGTACATGTGTGCCTATATCCTGCTTCCAAAAGTTCTCCCGGTGGATCTGCGCCCTGATCTGAGATGTCCCAGGGACAAGCCCCGAGCGTAGTCCTGCCTCTCCGCCCAGAACCCCCCAGGGTGATACGCAGGCGTTACTTCCAGGCAATTGAGTCCCGAGCGGGCTGTTTGCCCTGGCACTCGGTGGAGAGTGCTTAGATACAGGATGATTACAGAAAGATCATCCACCTCTCAAACCCTGTCAGAAAAGTTTCCCTGAGCTGGAAGGCTGCAGTGAGACAGACCAGGCTCAGAGACACTGTCACTGGAGACCTTGCCTGCTCGTGGAAAGGACCTTAGCTGCCCCTGCGAACATTTACACCGCACATCTTCCCACCACACCGGGGATTATCTGCAGCCGATTCACCCATTGGCACGTTGCACATTTAATTCCCGTTCTCCCGGGGCTCCCGGAGGTCAGAGGAGACCATCTGAGGTCTGGTGGCTCAACGGCATGCCAGAGTTGCTGTGACCCCGCACAGGAGCAAACAAATCATGAACACTTCAAACACGGAGAGGGGAGGAAATCTGCCCGCTGCGGTGCCTGCGCCGGGGCCAGACCCACTGCACACACCTGGGGAGGGGTCCCATGCTCCCCTGAGAGCTGTGATCCCACCATCCCAGAGCTCAGAAACCTCCCCAGAGATGGGGGGACTTGAAAAAACTTCATCTTACCTGTATGCTGGTCTGGTGAATTTTTTCTCTTCGTCAGAACTACAGGTAGGATAATCATCCCCGTCATAATTAAAGCAGTTATAGGGGTACTGCGTGTTATCAAACATCGTCCTGCTCCTTGCTCAGCTCCTGTGGAGTGAGAGAGATGGAGTGATGTTTCTCAGAGCTTGGACTCCCTCCTCCCTTCTTCCCTCCCCTCTGTCTGTCTCGTTCCCTCTCTCCCCCCTCCTCACGCTCCCTCTCCTCCGTGCACACATACTCTCCGCGATGGGGTGGGGATTGTTTTTGCAATTCTCGCGTCCCAGACAGCCCATCTGTTAGGATATTATTTTGGGGGGGGTTGTTATTGTTGTTATTGCTGTTGCCTTCAATGGGGTGGCGGAGCCAGGCGGCTGGTGACTGATGGAGCTGGTGAATTGGGGGTGAACCTTTGAACCGGGGTGTGCACCGCCGGTAGCTCCGCACAGCTCGCTGGGTGGTCCGGGCTGGAGAGGGGCCAGCACTCCCCCCACCACATCCACAACGTGACAAAAGCAAACAGCATGATGTTAATAAATCATGCTTCAAGGTCTCTACTTGGAAATTAAACTTTGAGAACAGAGTGCACCTCCCCCCAGCCCCCGAGTCCTCCCCCTTAGTATTTTTCTCTCCCCAGCGAAGCAGGGTGGCTTTCTTATTTATTTATTTTTAGAAACCCGACGTACAATAAACAGACGTTCCAGGCAGTAATGCACGCTTGTCCTGATCTGCAATCTATAATACAGTATAATAGACATAAATTATATTTCCATGAATAAAGGAAAATGTGTATGTTCAAAGAAAGTAGAACAGAGGGATATGAGGGACTACTGTCAAGCAGGAAAGTAAAAGGAAAATAGCTGTAGGCAGGAGAGCTGCCTGTGTGGGCTTTGATCTGAAGGATGAATTAGACTAATAGCCCTGTGTGTTGGCATCCAATACTGTAACAATTTAATAGTTTTTCAGTGCTTTGGAGTGTTTTCCAACAAGTGATGTAAACCAAAGGCATCATGCACCATTTCGGGGGGGGGGGATGACTAAAAAGGTGTATGCCACATGATAATTAAATTATTTGAAGACAGCTCTGTCCCAGGAACTAGCCCCAGGAGGAAATGGGTATTGGAAAAGAGAAAGCAAATTGGTGTGCGGAGAGTTACCTGGATGGAAGTATAAAAGCAGAACCACTAGCAATGCAACTTTTGTTTTCTATAGCATCTTTCATACAAAGTATGTCCCCAAACCCCTTTTGGGGTTAAAGGATACAATTAGGGGAAAATTCATCCGAGTGATAAAGAGCCCTTTAAAACGATGCTTAAGTGGCTCCTAGAGTTTTGACAAAGATGGACATAAGAAAGCTTTTTCTGTGGAATATATCAATACATTATAGCAGGGAGTAGGGGGAAATACAGGGCATGAAAAAATAGATACAAGAGGTCTTTTCTTGGGAATATGAAGCCAGAGCAGATACCCAAAATAAAAAATTATCTCCGCTCTAAAATACATTAATAGGCATATGCATGAGGCATCAACTGCAGAGGAGGTCTTAATACAAAGGGTCAGCTATTGCTGCCTAAGGCGTTAGCAGGGCTTTAATATTGAGATTCAGTGGTGGAGAATGAAATATATAATGTCTGGTCTTCATTCATGCTCTGTTCAGCTGGACTGAGAAGGTTTAAAGTAAAGAAGCAGCTGGGCCACAGACTTGGGAAGATTTTCCCTTACTAAAAACAGCAATCCTTGAGACACAAGTAAATGTCCACTTTGACTTTTAGCAGTGGTTCTTCTCGTTGGAGGTGTTTTACCTCACTGAAATTCCAGTAATTCAAACAGTCTTGCTTCTGATTTATAACAATTTTTAAAAAGCAGAACTGGGTTAGTTGACTGATTTTACACAACCTGTTAGCACCCTTTTTCAGTTCTTCATACTCTATTTATGAAAATTGCCTTGCTAAGAAAGTCAGACAATACACTTTGACCAAAACCCTCACATGTTTACTGACAGCATATAATAGGTAAAGTTTTCTGTAATGGGAATTAGAGCAAATGATTGTAGTGTCATACATTTAGTAATGTTATTTACCTCAATTCCTGTATTTTCTTGCTGTGGTGAGTGTAATCAGCTCGCCCATGTCTAGCACATCTATAACGTGCATTACGGCTGGTGGTTAGCTCTGCTCTGTGCAAGAGCTCATGTCCACCGTATTCCTCACCCATGTCAGTGGAAAATAACACTTAGATTAAATTTCCATCTCAGCGGCTGGTTTGTGAGTCTAAATTCAGCAAATGGAGGTGGGTCGTAACAACCAGCGCTGGTGTCCTTGAGCAGCATCTCAGGAGCGAGTGGGACCATGGGTGGACGGTGCAGGGACAGCTTGGCAAGATACATAGGAAACTCCTGCCATTGCCATTTGTGTAACACATAATCTGTGGATAAATATTTTTATTTCCTGATAGTCAGCAGTGGGCTGGAGGATTGAGTTCCTGGCTCTGTAAATATCACTAAATTCATCTGCTACAAATTCATATAGACCATATGAAGAATGCAGACCTTTTCTGAGTCCTACAAGATCAGAAACAAATTATATATTGTCTCTTATAAACCTGCTTCTGAAATCCAGATATTGAAAATGAGCTGAGTATTTCTCAAGGTATTTTTTAAAGCCTGCATACTGATATTTTATCCCCAAGTGAATGTTTATGGTCCAATTATAATCCTTGAAAATAATATTCATAAAGAAATGCTAACATGCTCTTATATGTACCGTGGTGGAGCTAGCAGGTGCCATGCTTATGGTGGCAAAACATGTTGTACAATAGCTTTTTCCTAGCATCTGTGCAGCCATTATAGTTTAACTAGAGTAACTATAACTCATCCTTGTCATTATCATAAAAGCATAATTTTGCCAGGCTAGTGTTTTCTTACGTTGTATATTTTCAGAACACAAAGTTGTAAACCATTTGATTTGAGATTGTAAATAGGCAATAAAAATGCTGTGAAAGATTTGCCTATTTTTTTAACATTGGTATTAAAAAGTTATTTGCAATTTTTGTAATTATGACACAGATTATGAAAATTGTACGTGAAATTCAGACCAGTCATAAATCCAAACAGGGCTGAATTACTAATCCTTATAGATCCTCAGAATAACAGTGTGTAGGACTGCACAATGACATCCCAGTCCTCTTACTGGTGTAGACTGGCATTTCCCAGCAGCACGGCTTCTCCTGCTCTCTCACTGACTTGGGAGCCAGAGCTGGTTGCAGCTTAGTACTTTATCCCAAACCTTTTAAACTTATCATAGAATCATAGAATTATTTGGGTTGGAGGGGATCTTTTAAAGATCATCTGGTCTACCCCTCCCACCACTCCCACCCCACCCCCCACCATGGGCAGGGACATCTTTCACTAGATAAGCTTGGTCAAAGCCCCATCCAACCTCACCTTGAACACTTCCAGTGATCGGGCATCCACAACTTCTGGGCAACCTGTTCCGGTGTCTCACCACCCTTGCAGTAAAGAATTTCTTCTTTCTATTCAATCTAAATCTGCCCCCTTTTGGTTTAAATCACTGGAAACAAGTGGTGGCCTTCAGCAGGTTTTGGATCACTCAAAGGTAGTCTATACCACCAGTAAACTGCTTTCTTTTTAGTACAAGATCTGTAGCTCAGGCAAACAAAGAAGAGGATGGGGAAATGAAGGTGGCGGTACTTACTCTCCCAGTTGCTCTGATACGGGATAAGGAGAAGGACAGTTCCCCAGACTTGGCTGGGTATTTGGCTGCGATGGCACCTGATACCCCATATAAGGGATCTTCCGACATTCAACTCAGTGACCCTCATTTCTAGGAAAGTGATGAGTCTTGCCACGCTGTCCACCTGCATTTCATCCTAAATTGCTCTCTGCTTCACCCACGTCCATCGGTTGAATTGCTTTCCTTTCTGCTTCTCTTTTGTGTTCATACGTAGAACTTCATGGAAATAGAATTTGCACCACAATTTGTGGTTTTCTGCTGGAGCTCAGTGAGAATTGTTTATATTTCCTAGCCAGGGGATTATTTGGAGAGGCGTTCCTCATCTCTATGCCTTCTAGCTGCAGCAGTGTAAACCTCATGCATAAAACACAGCACGGGTTTCTACTGAAACAGGAACGTGGATAAGAAACCTTCAATAACAATTCATCACATTAGAGGTGGTAAATAAGAGAGCAACTATATAAACTAGCTCAGACATATTACCCCTGCCCTAGCTAGATATGAAGATTCACAAGGCATATGTGAAAATCCATTTCTGGAGATGCTCAGTGTGTTTTGGTAGTGAAAAACAGGAAAAGAAGGGTTTTCAGGGTGAAAAGCCATTTCTCCTACCTAATCCTGGGTTGTGACTATTGGTCAAAAAATGGTTTTTTTTTCAGAAATTCCAGCTGGCCAAGCTGTGGGCTTTCCACAGCCTGGTGAAGCCCTGTGACCACGTTTTCACCGGGATGGACTGTATTTCCCTTTGGACCAGGGAAGGGTTTAGGTGGTGCTTTCTTATCTGCTTGGTGTGCAGACCTGGTACCCCACTCCATCACTCTCCAATGCAATGGACTGTTCTTTTTCCTAACATTATCTCCCTTTCCCAGAGCATAGCAAATCCTTTTCTAGCAAGAAGCTCTCAAACAAGTGAAGTGACAACCACCAAGTGGGCAAGAAGCCAGGAGCTGTGGAGAAAGCCTGCAGGTCTGTGAGACCAGCTCCTGGGAGCACCGGGTTTCCTGGTGGAGGAAACGCTGATGTTTGAGGGTTGACTGTGAGTAATATCACATGAATTAGCACTACAATATATTATTTCTCCTTTGCTCCCATGGGGTCATGGCTTCAAAGACAGTGGTGGGAGAACATGGGCAGGTCGCTAGCTTTTAGCAAAAATCTTGATTTTTTTTTTAAACCCATTTTCTACTTAAAACCAAAAAAGATGGAAAGAGAATTAAAAAGTTTTACAAAGAATAATAAAAAAAAATCAGTTTAGATTGGACAAAATGGTTTGGGTTCACCTAAAAGGAATTTCAAAATTTTACATTCTGTCCTTGGTTTGCCCGGCACCTTTCTGT